TTAGAGGAGCTTCCTGAGATGCAGGTGGATCCCATTCTTGGACATCAGCACAATTTTTGGAGTGGGAACAGGGAGCCTGAAAGGATCTGGTGCCAGCTCAAAGTGGAGCAGGGTCAGGGCCACTGCCACCTTCATCTCGTTCATGGCAAACTGCTTCCCGATGCAGTTCCTGGGTTAGGGAGGGAAAAGGAAATAAGAAGTGGCATCAAACCCCCTGCCAGGAACAGCACTTTCAGGGCCCTCCTGCATGGGCCCAGCCTAGATCCATTTTCCTCAAGACACACGCACATCTCTACATGTACGTACCCTTGCTCATTTCACACTCTATCTTTGACCTTTGACAAAGCCTACACTCTTCCAGGATTAGCTCCTACTCCTATCTGTGCTCTCAGTAGGCCTGAAATCCTGTTACAAGAAGGTCAGCACCTTGAGCCTCAGGGCCAAGTCAAGTGATCAGTAAAACAGTTAATTATTAAGTTGTTGACTCTCTGCACATGCCATTTCTGGTTTCACAATGCAGAGCAGGACGGGACACCATAGTGGGTGGGCTGGGCCATCCTTCAGTCCCTAACCATCTGGGGCACACAGGGGTCCAGATCCTCAAAGGACAAGGCAGAGTTGGGTAAGGAATTCAGAATGGCACAGAGAATATTCTGCAGGGGCAGAGCCTTAGTGACACTCAACTTGCTGCACCATCTGCTTGCCAGGTTGTGTCCAGACTCCTGCCTCCCCCTCGGCCACTCAGTTAACCAGCTACTGTAGTCTTCCAATTCTACTGCATAAATGTCTCTGCTTGCCATCCCTCTACCTCCTCACCCAGACTTTTCTGTCTGCTGCCTCCACTTCCTCTCCTGAAGCCCCAACCAGGCTCAGAGCCTCCCATGCCCTCCATCACAGGTTCAACATGTCCACATGCCTCAGCTGACATCAAAGTCCTCTCTCGGTTGTTGGTTCACTCACTTTTCACCTGTTCAACTCCTCCTCTTCCCAGCTCAGCTCCTGCTGAGGAGATCCTAGAGAATGCTCTCCCTCCACCTCTGCCTGTCACATGCTCAAGGCTAAGGGCAATGCCAGCCTGCCCTCACCCCCACCTCTGCCCACTGTGCCTCTTCACTCCTGGACCCTGACATCACCCTAATATTTTACACAAGTACACATCACTTTCCAGAGTCGGACAGTGCCAGGAGCATAGAGTTTCCTACAGTTGGGTCAATTATTAAATGAGTGAGTTAATGAGAAGAAAGAAAGAAAGGAAGGAAGGAAGGAAGGATGGATGGAAGGGAGGGAGGGAGGGAGAAAGGGAGGGAAGGAGAGAGGGTGGAAGGAAGGAAGGAAGGAAGGAAGGAAGGAAGGAAGGAAAGAAGGGAGAAAGAAGAAAGAAAGAAGGAAGGAAGGAAAGAAAGAACGAATGAAAGAGAGAGAAAGGAAGGAAGGAAGGAAGGAAGGAAGGAAGGAAGTAAGTCTCTTTTGAGTGGAGGCATTAATTTCTTGACTGTGAACTCCTGGAGGCAAGGGCACAATGCATCTCACAGCAGAGGATTTGGCACACAGAGACAGACTTAATAGGCAGTCTTAAAACTGAATGACATCTACTGAACTGAAAAAAACCCACCTTGAATGGAATAAAATATGAGTAACCATTAATTCTGAGCTAGGACCTGACCTGTCTACCCCTCTCCTGTCTCTACTTGCAGCCACATGACTTGCACCAATGTCTAGGAGGAAGGACTCAATCCCAAGGAGAAACAAATCCTGGAGCCAGTATCTGGAAGCACAATTTGCTTAAAGATGTTGTGTGAAATTGGGTTCACTCTGTATGTGAAGGATTGACAGATTCCTGTATTTGGAAAATAACATTTTTCTAGGAACTGCTTACAAAGTTTCCTGTAGTTACTATCTATAGTACACTCTCAGCAGCACTGGAGGATTTCACAGCAGCCACTCTGGAAAATAGTCATCCCACTGAACAGCCACCTCACATGTGCTTTACATTTTACACAGCAAGTAACCTTCAAATGTCACATGTCATATATATACAACAAACCGGATTTTCTCCCAAAAGCAATTTAATGTCCTCCTTTTAAAATAATTGCCCATTTGATTGATTGGACTCTAAATGCAATATTAAGGTATGTAGAGCCCAGATCATATGTAACGTTTGGACAACTGGGAAAATTGTCAAGTGTACATTATCATTACCATAGAGTCAATAATTCATTTGGTTGGTGAAAATATAGCAACAACACAGATTAGTCAAGTACCTTATGAAGCCCCTAAGAGACAGTAGGAACATTTCCTGTGTATGGCTGAAATATTTGAGGCATGCAGGAAGCTGAGTATGGAAACATATGCAATGTAGTCAATGGTGCAGTGTGGAGGCAGAATGGGGAGTTGAGTAGAAAAGCCTGGTTTGAGAATGCGTGCAAAAGAAATCTTTTGATTTGCTCCTGACTTTGATATCAACAACACTTGGAAATTACATGTGAGAAAATCTAATTCTGTAGAGTCATACTCATAAAATGAAAAACTCACAAGGATACCCTGAGCTGTGGAACACCCATGGACACTGAATTGTGGCTGGAGATTGGGTAAGAGCAATGGTTCAAAGTCTCCATGGCATTCAATAATTACCAACTTTCTTTGCATAGAGACACACACCTCTCTCCCAGCACTCCAACATGACAGGGCATATCTACAGAAACCCGCATAAATATAGCAGGTCACAAGCCTCAGCCACCCCTCTTCCTGTCCTGGTACAAGTGCCTCACCTTGATCCTCCTGAGAAGGGCAGGAAAGCATGGCTGTGTCGAGAAGAATCTGGTGCAAACCGGGAAGGGTCAAACACCTGCAGAGGGAGCACCAGAGCCAGGACAGGTGTGGTCAAGCCCTTCCTTCCAATCATCCAAGGGACAGCACACCCAGAGGTGGGACAGGAAGATGGTTTGGACTGGAGAGGTCATCCCACCTCCTCCTCCCAAGGTCATCATACCTCTGGGTTTGGCCACACCTTTGGGTTGTGGTGAAGGGCATAAAAGGAGAGCAAGACTAAGAATCCTGTGGGGCAGAAGAAAGAAGATTGATACACATGCCTGTGGAGCCCAGGTGCATCCACACACAGTTTGGCAGCCATCGTGAGAGCCTTTCTTATCACTGTGAATGGAATGACAGCATTGCAAGAGAGGTGGGACAGATATAGCACAACAGGTATGCACGTGTGCACAGGTTGGTAGATTAACCATGACCAGGCTGAAAAGCAGGGAAGAACTGGAGGCTTACTTTTTGGAGCAACTCAAGGGACAACTCACATCAAGTACCATCCATGAGCCCTTGGGGAATATCCATGAACACCTCCATTCTCACAACAACCCTCCAGTGAAGGCTCATATCTCCATTGTTCCATGAGGGACCTGAGCCTCAGAGAGGCTGAGCAACTTGTCTCTGACCACCCAGCTAGGATGTGGCAGGGCTGGGATTCAGAGTAGAGGGGAGCCGAACAGCGGCTTCCAGCCATGGCAGAAATATCAGATCTGGTCATCACTACTCTCTGCCATCACCCTGAGGGCTCCCTGGAGAGTGGACCATCTGAGCCATGATGGTGAATTCTCTGATCTTTCTCATTAGCATAGACCCTATAAGGAAAGACCGCATATCTCCCTGCTAAGCCTGATGGTCTCTCAAGCATTCAAATCTCATAGTACCATAATATTAGGTCAAAACCCAAAGCTACATTCAGAGGCTGTCATGTATTTGTTTCTTGGATTATACTCTGTGGGAATCATACTGTATACATCATTTGAACAACAGGAAATACTAGTTTTCTTGAGGGAAAAATGACTCTGAAAGACATGCACCAACTGCCCAGAACATGTGGATTT